CACACCTAGACGACACCTCACCGCGCGGCAATCGTGCACGATTCTGCGTGGATTGCCGCACGTTCAGGAGTCGAGGTGTGAACCAAGCACGCTGTAGGTGCCATTATTTTCTAATGGCACCCCAGTCGCGCCGGGTGGATTGCACGGTTTCCCGCTGCGATTCCGCCCATGCTTCCCAACACGAAAACAGCCGCGTGTCGTGTATCGACAAAAAAGGTACTTGTACCTTTTTTCTGCAATTGATTTGAGTGGCTGTGCACAGCACTTCTGGCTCCCAGGAAGGGAAATGCACCCAATTTTTTTTAAATGATCAATGCGGTGTTACCAGTGTTAGGGAAAAAAAGGACGTTGTTGCCCACAGCAGCCATTTGGCTTATAAGAGTGGCCATTTTTGGGAGCCAGAGATCTGTGCTGTCCCTTTAAATCTCTGCATTGCCATTACCCCCCTATGTTGGCCTTAATCTGACCTGCGGGCTGGTGGACAGGAAAACCTCTTCATCTTGGTGGATCTTCATTATATTATAAGTGATTCTCAAGCCAGTCTATATTGTGACAAAGCCAGCCACTATATTTAAACCAGACGTGTTTGTAAACAATGGGGCCTGTTCCTTTAAATCCGCTTAGGGTCCGCTCCCTTAATTAAGTGCATTTGTTTAGTGAAACTGCCTAAAAATAATCCTCAGCTGATGTTATTGGGATGCTGGCGGAGAATCAAAGCCTTGCCTCTAATTAAACGAGGCCTGTGATTTGTTTACGAGCTGGCATATATTTCCATGCTAATGAGCCCGCTCTGAGGATCCCGGGCCCTCTGCTCCCAGCCTGAGGGGTGGGTACTTGGCACGGAGGCTTCTGGCACGGCCTATACGGCTCCATCTTGATGCCTTTGAGGGGCTTAGTCAGGTCCGAGCGCTTCTGTGACTTTTATGCTCCGATAGTCAAGTTGCCTCAATGTTTCCATTACAGAAGATGTTTTTGTTATTTTTGATTTTGTAGAAGTAGAGATATTATTGAAGGATTCTGGCGGAATTTAGGAAATGACGGCAAGCAGCCGAATCTGTCTTCAAACCTTTCCCTTATGACTGGATATCTCTATAATAAACTGTAACGTGAAAATTTTATTCAAAAATTTCCCTCTACTGCCAATGATCCTTGCACTTCCTGTGACAACACTCTGTGCCTATCTTCCTTTTCTTCTCCTGTCCCGCGGTCCTCCGATGGCGGCTATGAGCAGCCGCGCCTAAGCACCTTGCACAGTCAAGGTCTACAGTTGTCACCATGGGGGAACCAGCGATGGCTGAATGGCGTTTCTCAAGGCCGGTGGTGCTTCTAGACAGGAAGTGTCTAAAATTTAATTGCACTTCCTGTGACAACACTCTGTGCCTATCTTCCTTTTCTTCTCCTGTCCCGCGGTCCTCCGATGGCGGCTATGAGCAGCCGCGCCTAAGCACCTTGCACAGTCAAGGTCTACAGTTGTCACCATGGGGGAACCAGCGATGGCTGAATGGCGTTTCTCAAGGCCGGTGGTGCTTCTAGACAGGAAGTGTCTAAAATTTAATTTAGCAAGTGTTGTAAGTTTCGATGATCGGGGACACAGAGGAATCTAGGGAAGATGCAGATTAGAAGACAAGGGCCTTCACAGTGTTCCGGATCAACTTCCAGGGACTTTTTATTTTTTTATTAAATAAACGGATGTCACCAGCACACCAATGGTGTTGAAGTACAAAGTGTTTGTACTGCAAGGGTTAATTGCTTCTTTCGACCTTCCGAGGCCAATCTTGGATTAAATCTAAAAAAATTGTAATGTTCTTGCAAGGATCCCTTGTCTTCGATTACTGCTCCCCCCCTTGACCATTTTCACACCATGTTCCGGCGTTTCACTAGCTGCTTTCTTGTTGCCGCCGTTGCCCGGGCAACCTTGCCCATCCGCAGCTAATGTCATCCTGACACTGTACAGAGCCCTCCTGCGTTTGTTGACTGCTCAGCCATCTTACAGGGTGTTGGTGGTAGTGGGGAAGGGGGGGGCTCTTTGGTGTCTTTTGTGTTAATATTTGCTTTCCTCTGGAGCAGGTCTATCTGTCGTCCGTGTTTAATCACTGTAAAGCACTCACACTGGCTTATACACTCACAGCGAGCGTTCGCCGCGCGGCTATACAACACTTCACGAATGTCAAGTTGGCGCGGCAATTGTGATCCCATGTTTGTCTAATACTGCATGTGTTTGCCCGTGTCCTTCTAATCTTTTTAATAGCGCTGGGGAGTTTGTTTGAAGGGCTCAATCGCGTGTTTATCAGCTGCCGCTTGCCTCCATCGTGGTAAACACGGCCGAGGCCCTTGTAGCGGTTTCGGATTAGCGCGTGTATTGACCGAGAAGTGATGAGACGGTCCCAGGGATCGAGCGGTCTGTAATTAAACAGCCTTCGCCGGGAGAATCCGCAAACTAATTAAACCGCTTGTTTTAACTCTTTCTTTGTGACTTTCTTGCATATTAAGGGCCTCGGGGGGTAAATTATCTTAAGGAAGGAGTGTTCTTGTGGCCCTTTAGAGTCCGATGAGGCTTCCCGTCATTGCTTTGTTCTGCCCGGGGACAGAGATGAGTTTTTGGTTGCTATGTGGAGCAAGAAAATGTGTGTTTAGGCCTTTTATTCCGTTTTTCTTCTCCTCTAGACATCCGAGTGCTTCTCCTTATGTTGACCAAGAATATGGCAATTGTGGGGAATTTTTACATCAATTTTCAATTGGAAAAAAAAATGATTGTAGGGAATAGAACTGTCCACAGTCTTCGGACTGGAATTGGAGTGGCTTCTAGTTATTTTAACACTGGGAAACTATTGAAGCTAAAAGTGGCAGGTTGAGGAGTCTCTTGCAAGTCATTTTTTTTTTTTAAACTAAAAGGTAACGGAACATTTACAAAATTGCATCTTGTGTAGTCCGCAGCAATTTGTTATGCCCTTAAAGTTCAATTTTTACAGTCAAATTCAGAACCCCCCCCACTATTTGTGTGTTCCCATTTATACAGTATACCTAAGACATTTAAATATAATATTTCTTACCGTTCTGTTGGTTTAGTAGATCTTTGGGCAGACTGCAAGTTACTCTTTTGTAGAAGGACATACTGAGGGAAAGCGTATTAACCTAAAAAGCTCCATCCAAGCTTTGAGGTCTTTAGAGCCCATTCACACCATGTCCAGATCATCTCCAGACCAGATAAGATTGTATCCGGACCAAAAATGCATCCTAATGTATCCCTATGCTATTTCTTGGCTTTGTTCATGCCAGTGCAGTCCATTCCAGACCAGACCAGAAAAATACTGCTTGTCTTAATTTCTGGTCTGGAATGCAATGGAACGTATAGAAACGCACTGGAACGCACCTGTAAGACCATTTTAAGCTAACAAAAAAAAAAAAATCTCTCGGACGCAGCAAAATCGCTGCAAAACGCAATGCACTGCCTTCCAAATCGGGTCCGAAAAATGGTGTGAATTTGCCCTGAGAGTACAACTGAATCCAAAACCTTTTTGTTTTTTAGTTTTAGATAGAGTGGAGATGGATTAGGAAACCTGTTTTTATTGCTGTTTGGGCCCCTGTTAAGGAGATTCACCCTCTCTATTTGTCCTGGGGTCCGTTATCGCTGAAAGGAAACCCAAAATATTGGGTTGTCTACCGAACTGGAATAGATGGGAAATCTTTCAATGGGGAAACAGGTACTGGTGACTCTGCTGACCACCTGGGATCTTTCTCTCTTTGGAGGGATTTAGTCTCGCTTTCTGTTGTGACTGTCAGACAGGAAGTGAAATCTCCCCAATGGAGATGGCAAAAAAGCGGACAGGGGTTATAACTAGGGCTGCTGAAATTAACGATTAATTCCTCGATTAATCGTTAACATTTTTGATCGATTAAAATGCTTTTGATCGCTAATGAAAAAACTCACCTCTCCGCCGGCTTCACGGACATTGACGTCACCGGACTCCCCCCTTCCCCAAGTGGCTCCGTCGGCTAACGAAGGGAAGGGGGGGAGGAGTCCGGTGACGTCTATGTCCGTGACGGCTAACGAAGGGAAGGGGGGAGGAGTCCGGTGACGTCGATGTCCGTGACGGCTAACAAAGGGAAGGGGGGAGGAGTCCGGTGACGTCTATGTCCGTGACATAGACGTTACGTATATAGCCGTCGGAGCCACTTGGGCCGGTGAGTTTGCCAAAGAAACTTGTTCTGCCCTATCAATTTTTAAATAGGTTATACTTGCATGTAAAGGGAACATCACTGTGCAGCCTGGCAATGGACATCGAACCTTTCTTCTACCATCTTCCCAGCTGGTCAGTGTGCCCACAAGTGTAGACCAAACTCCAAGGCATCAGCCTATACACATACAGCAAAGCAATGAAGTAATAAAATTAACTAGGATCACACTAATCCAGCACGTTATTAATCTCACGTGCCCCACTCAATATGGCCGCCGCTTGAGTGAGGAAACTCAGAATAATAACGTGCTGGATTAGTGTGATCCTAGTTAATTTTATTACTTCATTGCTGTGCTGTATGTGCATAGGCCAATGTAGTTGGATCTGTATGTGCGTTATAATGAATCGAAATTAATCGATTAAAAAAAATTTTGATAATCGAACACGAAAATTGTAATCATTACCAGCCCTAGTTATAACCCTTCCTTACTCTATAAACCCTTCCTTACTCCATCCAAAACTTAAAAAAAAAAAAGAAAGTTTAGGCTTTAGATATAGTTCAACTCTTTGTTAGGACAGACGGTGTTGTTATCTACTTTACATCTGATAATGAGATCTGCCAGCACAGTAAACACAGGGTTAACTATGGTAAACATCTCCCCAGCCCCCTCCTTACAGTTGCATAAGAAGATGCTAGGTAGGATTTTTTACCAGAACATCCTCCTGACATTTATGTGGAAATCTATTTGCGTCACTTTTTTATATGCTTTGCTTTTGAGTTGGCTGATTTTATTTATTTATGTATTTCATTTGTTTCTTGTACAGATCTTGGTGGACCTGTCCAGTCCGTCCGCCCACGCCTCGCAGCAGTATGAGATCGTACTGGTTCACGAAGGAAACACCATCCTCAGGGACTTGGTTCTGAGCCCCGACCGCCAGTATATCTACGCCATGACCGAGAAGCAGGTAACGCTGATGGGTTTTAATATGAATGTATAATAAAGTCCGGGAACATCAGTGGGGTCTATTTTACGAAGCAGTTCAATCATAGAATTCATAGAATCAGAGTTCAATCATAGAATTTAGAAATCCGCTTTCACTGACCTGAGTAATTTCTTATTTCCTCCTCTGTTCCTAAAAGCATATTTTTTAACCATGCACTTTTTTGTGCGTCTTTCATGCTAGGAGATCTGATGTAGGATTTACTGCACTGCATTCATGTAGTCACTAGAGAAAACTTTCAAAACTGATCGGCCTTGTACAAGACTAATGGACCATTCACACCTTGTCCGGATCATCTCCAGACCAGACCAGATTGTTCCTGGACCCAAAATGCATCTTAATGAATCCTTATGCTATTTCTGGCCGCTGTTCACACCAGCGCAGTCCGTAGCAGACCAGAACAATACTGCTTTTCCTATTTTGTCTGGTCTGGAATGCACTGGACCTGCGGGCAGGTTCACGCCGTATTCCGGACCAGATCACGTCCGGAAAATGGTGTGAACCTGCCCTAAAGGGAACTCGTGTGTGGAGCCGTGAACAGGGCCAACTGATCAGAAGCCGATTAATCGATTATTGAAAAAGTTGACAACTTTTTCAATAATCGATTATAATCGATTATGTCGATTAGTTGTTGCAGCCCTAGTCTGGAATGCACTGGAACTGCGGGCAGGTTCACGCCATATTCCGGACCAGATCACGTCCGGAAAATGGTGTGAACCTGCCCTAAAAGGAACCTGTCTTGAAAGAATCATGGAGGCTTCTGTTGCTGACCATTCTTTCTATAAATGCCAGTTGCCTGGTGTTCACATGCATTGGCTTCAAAGTGTATATAAACCCATCAACAAGCATGTCTTATATTGCAGCTCATCAGTCCTTCCATGTGTTGGCTGCGTTTGTTTTGTTTTTTCATGCCATGTACATTTTTTGCTAGTACAGACAGCTGTGAGCTGTCCATGATACTTTTTTTTTGATTTGCACCAACAGTTACATTTTCTGGACAAGCTTTTGGGGGTGTAACCCCTTCTTCTAAGGTCCAAGCAATACTTAGATACACTGCCTGCCCCCCCCAAAAAAAAGTCACACACTAATATTTCATTGGACCTCCTTTAGCTTTGATCACGGCACACATCCACCATGACATCGTTTCGGTAAGTTGATGCAATGTCGCAACATTTATTATCCATCCAGAGTTGCATTCATTTTTCACCAAGGTCTTGTAGTGATGATGGGAGAGTCGGACCACGGCGTAAAGTCTTCTCTAGCACATCCCATAGATTCTCAATGGGGTTAAAAGAGAATTATGGGGTAACCTTTTTATCCCATAGTTCTCTTAAGGGTCACGGGAGGACATATTCTAACATCCTCCCGTGACCCAAAGCTCAGTATATAGCGGGCTATTGCTCACTATATACCGAGATCGCCGCAGCCGGGACGGATCCCGACAATGTTGTCGAGATCCACCCAGCTGCGTGAGTAACAGCGGGCTCTGCCTATCTAGAGCCAGCTGTGCCCGCCCCCTCCCCGTCTGTTTCTCCACTCAGCGCTGGAGGATTTGGGAGGGGATGGGGAAATCCCTGCTGAAAGCCGTGACTGACGGATCGGAAAGCAAGCGAGCGACGGTATGCGCTCGATCCCTTCCCGATCTATAGAGTTGACCGGTGACAGTTTGAATGTCACAGGTCGGCTCGAACTATGAGGTTGAGTGAAAATCACTCGCCTCATAGTTCTCCTTTTAAGGTCTGGACTCTGTGGTGGCCAATCCATGTGTGACAATGATGTCTCATGCTCCCTGAACCACTCTTTTACAATCTGAGCCCGATGAATCCTGGCATTGCCATCTTGGAATGAAAAAAGAAGGAAAAAAAATGAATTGGTGAAAAATCCTGTATATTCAGGGGGCAGCTGACCTAATTTTTAGGGCACATACCATTGCTGAACCTAAACCTGACCAACTGAAGCAAACCCAGATCATAACACTGCCCGAAATCCAGGCGGTGACTTTTTTTGGCCCGGCAGTGTACTATGGTTTATGGAAAAAAAGTTTTGAATCGGTACTTCTTGGACCTAAGAAGAAGGTAGACCTCCGAAAGCTCGTCATGCGAAACGTACCTATTAGTGTAAATTAAACACTTATCATGGACGGCACTCAATTGTGATATTATACGTTTAGAAATATGGTCACAGTCACCCTATGCAAGTACCGAAAGATACCTATTGATCTTGTCAGAAATCCTCTGCCCCTATAACTGCCTGTGCACTGATCAGAGATGTCAAACAATCTGATCAGCCTTACTAGATATCTTCTGTCAACTACAGGCCACTCCCTTCCTATTTAAAGGAGAACTATGGGGTCAGGGCTTTTCCCCATAGTTCTCCTAAGGGTAACGGGAGGACACAAACTAGCGTCCTCCCGTCACCCTAAGCTCTCTATACCGCGAGCTACAGCGTGCGGTATACTGAGACGCCGCAGCCGGAGCGGATCCCGACATCGATGTCGAGATCCCCCCAGCTGCGTGAGTGACAGCTGGCTCTGCCTATCTAGAGGCAGAGCCAGCTGTACCCGCCCCCTCCCCCATCCGTTCCGCCAGTCAGCAGAGAGCCATGACAGGATCGAGAGGTGAGCGAAAGCCGGTATGTGTTCGCTCACCTCCCGATCTACTGAGCCGACCTGTGACAGTCTCATTGTCACAGGTCGGCTAGAACTATGAGGTGAGTGAAAAGCACTCATCTCATAGTTCTCCTTTAATGGAGGATGGAGGTATTTGGAGTCTAAATCAGGAGCACAGCCTAGGGTTACTATCTGCATGGAGTTTGCATGTTCTCCCTGTGCTTGCTATGGGTTTCCTCCAGGCAGTTTGGTTTTTGAGTAACAGCGGGCTCTGCCTATCTAGAGCCAGCTGTGCCCGCCCCCTCCCCGTCTGTTTCTCCACTCAGCGCTGGAGGATTTGGGAGGGGATGGGGAAATCCCTGCTGAAAGCCGTGACTGACGGATCGGAAAGCAAGCGAGCGACGGTATGCGCTCGATCCCTTCCCGATCTATAGAGTTGACCGGTGACAGTTTGAATACAGCCTAGGGTTACTATCTGCATGGAGTTTGCATGTTCTCCCTGTGCTTGCTATGGGTTTCCTCCAGGCAGTTTGGTTTTCTCCCACACTCCAAAGACATGCTGGCAAGTTAATTGGCTCCTGCCTAGAATAACTCCTAGTATGCGTGTGCGTGTATGAATGCATATGAGATAGGAACGTTACATTGTAACCTCCTTCAGGGAAGGGGCTGATGTGAATGAGCAGTTTGCAAAGCACTGCATACATTGTCAGAGCTATATAAATGCCTGGAATAAATAAATAGGGTGACAACACAGCTCCTCTACAGATACGGTGGAGCAAGTGAAAGTTGTCACCTCAGTACAGGAAGATTTTAGCTAGGGAGCCTACCAGTAACATAGAAAGCAGAAACAGCTTCTTCTCCCCCCGGAGGTCAGCGCTCGCTTCTTCTTCCCCCGCAGGTCAGCACTCGCTTCTTCCCCCGGAGGTCAGCGCTCGCTTCTTCTCCCCCCGGAGGTCAGCGCTCGCTTCTTCTCCCCCCGGAGGTCAGCGCTCGCTTCTTCTCCCCCCGGAGGTCAGCGCTATGACCTCTGCAGTCCTTAGACCGCCGGAGCACAGGGAAGAAGAACTGTGAGGATGGGAGATGATGGATCAGGAGCCGGGGATCAGGTAAATAAAACAACTTTAATAGTGTGCCCTATACAAAAGGAGCACTTACCCCTTGCAGTGGTGTGGTGGTAACCCCACTGCAAGGGCAAGTTTTTTTTTTTTTTTTGTTCTTTCCTCGGAGATCGGCTTTAAAGGAAACAAATGCAAGCTGCAATATAAGATATTTTTGTTCTTGGGTTTAGATTTGTTGAAAACAAGTACAGAGACGAGGAATTCTGACGCTCGGATGCCTCCCCCTCTCATTGCATCTTTATTTTCTGTAAAGTTAACAGATCCACTTTGTACTGTTTTTGTAACTATTTTGCACTGATGCCGATCCGTGTTACTCTGCTGACAGTGATTTCCTGGTCCGCAGCCCACGAGCTCTACCGAAAAATTGTCCGTGCAATGACACATTTGCCTATGAAAGAGCTTTTCTATGTATTTGCTGGGATACAGTTATCACACACGATCACCCGCTCCGAGCGACCTTTGACTTGCTCGCCGTTGCTAGGGGTTTATCTGCCTTGGTATGAGAGGTTTTCATGTAGGTTGCTGGTGGTCCCCGGTGTCCGTAGTGTCGTCCATGAATTGTGATGCTAATGTATGGCTTTGTTAGGTGAATAAAAAGAGCATTTAAAATGTGCTTAGGGCAAGCTAAAGATCCACCGGGGTACGTGAGAGATTAAAGGAACAGAAAGGAGAAGGCAAAGGGGAGATTCACACAGTCCCTTAGCAATGTTTAAAGTAGAACTCTTTAAGATAGGCTGGGAATGTTTTAGAATCCCTTCTAGGAGAGTAAAGCTGGCCCTACACCTAAATATTATCTGCAGATTTTCTATGGTCAGATGGAAAAAGTGCAACAGGTTCCTCCATCTAGGAGGAACCTGTTGCTAGTCGGCTCCGCTGGCTGTCAAAATACCTGAACAATCTGATTGGTTGCAGGCACCGTTCAGTTATTTTGAGAGCCAGCGGGGCCGACTAGCAAGATGCTGAAGCTTGGCCCAGCGGGAGATTTCTCCATCCACACACTTTAGGCTGGGTTCACACCTAGGCGTATTGAATATGCCCGTCTGTCGCGCGTTTTTTTAACCGCGATTCGCGGTAAAAAAAAAAACGCGCGACAAACGCACGTTTCACAGTGCTACTTGGCTGTATCCCAATGGAAACGCCCAACAAAAACGGCCCAAAGAAGTACATGTACTTGTTTGAGCGTAGGCCGTTTTGTAGGGCGTTTCAGACGGGCGGAAATACGGAAAGGTGTCAACCAT